AATATTTCCAATCCAGTATATTTATTCAAATATTAAGCAAAGAAATGCCTTCGATGATGTAAAAATAGGTGCATCGTCATGATTGATAAATGTAATAAAGAAATATACGTATGAAATTAATTTTCATTATGCATCTGTGATGCTGAAAGAAGACAGGCTAACTGATTCACAAGCTCTGGACAGTATGCCTGTGTGCAGCATCAGCTGTTTCAGAGAGAGAGAGAGTAACTATCATGCAGAGCCCGACGATAAATTGAAATGCCGCAGCTGCGTACTCGTGTCGGCTTCCGGTTAAATTTCGTATAATGAACAAAGGTAATTGCAGCAGATCCATTGAGAACTTTTCTTTCCAACGTGTACGTTAAAGCAAACCAAACAAATTGTTCTTCTCCTTTTTTTTGAACTTGACTGCCTGAACTCCTTTACACTGCTTTGTAACCCCCTCCCCATTTTCTGTTATTATTGTGTTGTGTTGACACCATGCTTGCTTGCAAGCCGGTGATATATATATATATATATTGAAAAGGAAAAGGCGAGCATTGAGTAATAGTATTTATTGTGACGTTTCGATCCAGACCAGGACAAGTTGTCAAACGATAATACGTATATATATATATATATATTCAGATTCGCTGTTCAGATCTGTTTGTAAATTTGCCTTATTCCTCACGAAGTTAAACATTCTCCATACAGGTGCATCTTTTGGGTGGAAAAGAAAAATAGATCTTTCTCAAAGGAACAAGAAGCATATCATTGTATTGTTGAATAAAATAACATCCGCACTACATGATGATTATGATGAAATGACTGGAGGAAATGTGTCATATAAATCAAGTCATGCTCTAAAATTGTCATTATACAAATTCAAGCAGGCAAATTTGTTCATCAGTTAGAATGCTTGCAGTAGTTATCGGTGTCCATAGAAGAAGATTAAGGCACTATTGAGCTCCAAGTTATCTCGCCTAGCCCTGGAGACTTTAGATCAATATGTCGTTGACNCGTTGACTCAACCGAGTTGTATCGTCGTATTCAACCTCCGGACGATTTTGACGGAAACTGATATCTCCCTACACATTCGTGTAAATGCAGATTACCGATTGATTAGTCATAGATTCCAGTGGTTAAAAACAAGAGCCTCCTGTTCAGTCAGCTTTGCATGGATTGACAACGTAAAGGCTTCGTGGTTAGCTTTCAAAGGACTTGCCTCAAAGAGTTTCCCGAGATGAACATTGTCTCAAACAGAGGTCGCTTCACTGATTGTTCAAAGTCGTGTGCAATCACTTTACAACTAGATGGACGGTTTTATTGTGTAAAAAGTAACCAGTAATCGTTTCCTTCAAAACACCAGCTCCTCTATCTCTTTCTCTCACACACTTATATTCACTATGAACTTTGTGAGAGTGTTCAAATAAAAATTCCAACGAGGTGCATGGTTTTGTGCGATGAAATTCCCGGGTGTCAATCAGTACCTCGTCGATAATTTGAGGCCCATTTTTGATTTGCAATTATTAGTTATTTCCCGCTGGGGAACAGTAGCTTATTCTTTTAACTTTTTGCAAAGTTCGTTTTCTACAGAGGGACATGACGTGCAACACCATTTGCTTGCTCATCCCTTTTTGTGTGATGAACAGCGTAGAGGGTGCACTTCATAGACACGAAAACCCAGTGTTTACTCATAAAAACCAGGAACATAAGCTCTGGTATTCGAAGTAATGAATAACATAATTCCCTGCAAGGATAGAAGTACTAGTAGCGACATGAAATATGCCCGCGGTCAAAGTCAAACTCATTTTTTCTTACCCTTATCTAAGCTCCTTTATCAACAATCTTGATCAAATTCAATCATTCTTCTCCTTTTTGGGGCTAACCTTAAACCCCAGCAAATGTATCGAATGTTTATATAGTTTTACTCTCTCCCCATATCCAACAGACCCCATAGGGATTAATAACAATCCTTTATCTAGGGTGAACTCTGTCAAATATCTTAGTGTAACCATAGATAATCATTTTCATTGATCAACTCAGATGCAAAAGCTGCATTAGTAAACTGCCGCGCCTATCTTTTGAAATTCGAAAGCTCAGGCAGTTTCGCGCATCCCAGTCAGTTACTTCCACCTTTATTTATCAGTGTGTTATCCCCACCCTACCTTATTGTTCCCCAGTCATTTTTCCTTGGCTTCATTAAACAAGATGTCAAAGTCCTAAGCCACGATCCATCTAGTATGTGCCACGTTTCTTCTAGTCCTGTGAATGAGCTAGCTGTAAAGCCTTCACGGTATCATAGAACTTCCTGTGTGAGATTTTCGGAGAGGATACTCACATATCTTGACGGTCCATCGCACGCGGAGTTGACACGTTGTCGTTCCCATCATTCCACACGCTCCCAATTTCGCCAAATTTGTTATCTCGTGTAAACGCTTACCAAAATTCATCTATACAGTATCTTACACGTTTAATCACAAAAAAAAGAGGGCAATAAGTGAACTTTGTATTAACCTTGAACTATGAAATGTTTCCATGTCTGTAAAACTTTTCTCCCCGTTGGATATGTGCTTTGTGACGGTTTGCGTGTATGATTTGTTTTCAACTGAAATGTAAGCCTCAATGCAATGGCGAAATTAATTTTCAAATCACAAATCTTACAGTCTGAAGCGCACCTCTCATGGCTTTTGAAAACGACAAACCAACGATGCTGTTGGTGGTGTTGTTGGTATTGTTGGTGGTTATAAATTCAATGACCATTCCCATGCAGTAAAAACTTTATTTTAACGTTGACCCCTGAGCAAAGCGCTTCCACTTTCTAGTATTACGTAGAGTTTTTAATGGTAATACCTCACAGTCCACCAAGGTGAACCTATTCGTTGATGAAATGATAGCGGAAGAGAACAATGTGAAATGCTTCAACAATTTAGTGCAAAGTTTCGCGGTTTTATTGGGAATATCTGAAAATAAAGGAATTTACGAGGAATATAACTCAACAGCTATTCCATGTAGACAGTGTTTGAGTACTGTACTGTTTGCTCGGTTTGGTGAATGATTTGTTTGCAGTCATGTATTTCTGGTCTACAACACCGGTACAGAAAGCGTCAGTGACCTAACTGATCAGAGGAGGATTGTGTAACCACACGTGGAGTACTCTCTGTTCACAACTGCAATAGGCTTGGAACGAGACAAAAAACATTCCTTGTAATTGCTATGCAATTGTACTGACCAGCTGATAGCTTTGGCATTTGAAAAAACTGTTGATAATTACAAGCAACTGCTTTCTATAACGTAAAGGAATACTTTGATTCAGAAATCCAGAATGATTAGTAAACGAATGCCCAATTGATTTAAATCACCCAAACAGATACAGATAAAGGATAACCATTTGGTAAAAAGTAATAGTTCTAGTAGAGTTTCATCGAAGCGGTAAGCAATATCACTAAGATAGCCCTCTATCATCCTCCGTTTTTCCCTGTTTTTTTTTAAATATCCCAATCCCTCCGTTCTTTGTTGGTATTGTTGTTGCGTTGGCACCATAAGTGTTTGCAAGCGGGTTAATATATACGGTTCTATACGCCCAACTTTAGGCTTTGTTTTCAGCATTTAGCTTTGTTACATCATCCTTTAGCCAAATTTTACCCAATCAGATTGTTGTAGAGACACGGCTGGGACAAGGCTTAGCGTGATAAACAATGTGGAGCACCGAGTCAGCGAAATCAGGAGGATTCCACCCCACCGCCCTTCCCCCCAGTGGGATTAAGGTACCAAAAGTTTATTTTCAACAGAAAATTATCAACGACCGGTTCCGCCTTGATCTCTCAACCACTAACATCACAATCAGTATCTGTTGACTCAGTTTTATTATAAAAAACAACTAAATCGTGAATCAGACCCCGTTGTTATTGATGTGGAATAATTGAAAAAAAGATTATAACTTTTCCCTCGATGAACCAAATTATATATATATATATATATCTTACATATTATACTACGTTTGTGTCGAGCACGAGACACCCCAATCGGATACATAAAGAAATGGTTCCAATTATCAGGCTACAGGAAAATAAATAATATCGATCGCTCAATACTGTCAAGCATCCAAACTCCGTCTTCAATCTGAAGGACATTCGAACGGCTCAAAGATATCAACTTCTCGCTCCGCAAACGTTCCATTTTTGCAGACCATCCGATTTCTACGTAAAAAAGTGAAACATAATCCTCCGCCATTCGGGCTGCTACTGCATAGTAACAAAATGAAATTAATCAAACGCAAATCTGACTTCCAGTGTTCAGATTTGCCAACAGATGGACGGGTTCCTAAGACTGCGTACCATTTTGGGAGCCAATTCAACCCAATGTAATAATGAATATATTTCAAGGTAACGCCTTGGAATCTATCTTTCAAATTTTCAGTTTCTTCTGGCACTGAATGAAGGATAAGTCCTATAAAGTTGAACAGAAAAGCTTATTTCATGCTAAACGAGTCTTTGCTATTTGTGTACATTGAGTGTAAAAGGGAGATGAACGTTCCAGATAGCATACAACGAAAAGCCGCATCGGAGTGTAACACAATCTACTACTGCGTCAAGATTGCTTGTATGGAGAAAGAAACATCCTATCCTCAGGAAATGCATCAAAGATCTAGGAGAGACTGTATGCTCTCTGATCATAGATCATGATAAGATTCAAACCGAATCACACACCACAGATAACGAAGATAGAAATGAATTGCTTATTTGATGAAATATCGCCAATCGAACTATGGCCCCTATTGTGACCGATAATCAAATCAGGTCTGGAAGTGCTTTATATACTCAAAGGGTGAATTTTCTGCAATGCTACGCACTGGATATATCGATATTTCGATGGACCTTTTATTTTTAAAAGCTTATCTAAATGTAAATGTTATCGTTCTATTTCTTACGCGCGGGTATTACAGCTCAGAAAACCGGATTGAAATTTGTCAATATTTCCGGTTTAGGAGTGAATCGCCACATCTGAACACGAAGAACAATATGGACAATAGTTCGAAAGAGAAGCAAAAGCGTCGTAAACGGGGGAAAAAAGAAGTACGAGATAATTCGTGGTTTGTTTGTTTTTAAACAAACCCTAATCCTTTACACAGACAACAAAATCGTCCGGAGTGGACAATGATTCGTTTGAACTGGAAGAGACTGACGTGACACACGTTCGGTAGTTTGAAACCCAATCCAATGAACTATTCAATTCAGACCGGTGGAACAAGCGACCGATGAGAACGCACAAACTGTGGAAATTGTCAAACCAAAAAAGCGTTTAAAGAATAAAACGACGCCAAGGACGCCAAGGAAGAGGAAAAACATGAGAGACACTGATTCCGCAGATCAGACTGCAATCTCCTCCGGACAAGATCAAACGAATAATGCGCAGGTTGAAACAGAACAAACCAATCAGGCTACCAGTATCACTATTCATCGATCTGATGCGCTTCGTGTCGATCCGCATATCGCATACCTCATGGTTCGAGTTCATATCATGAATGAACGATCCGGGACCTATGCGAAACGGTAATCGTGTAAAGTGATCCCTTCACTACGCTATTCTTGTAGATCAGTTGTGGACGAAGACTCAAGTGAAGCACACATTCAACCGGTGAAGTCAAGAGCTGTGCGCACTGGACCCGGACAATTTCTTCTGCCCATATGGGAACAAACTTTGGTCATCCCGGAACCGTTTTCCAAAATTGTGAGCAATCGATCCACGGTGATTTTGTTCGAGGCAAGTGGAAGTAAATGGGTAGCAATTTACAACAACAACAACAACAACCTGAGTAAATGTTTTCGACAATGGTGCGCAGTTTGTTTGACTGTGTTGTGAATGAATGATCTGTTTACGTTTAGTGGTAAATTAAATTGTATAATAAGTAGTAATAGTTGTATATGAATGACTGGATAAATATTCCCAGAGGCTGAGGTTAGACGCCTCCAATCCCACAACACCTAACACGGAATCATCGTAGTGATTACTCGAGTCTTGTTGGTTTTATATCATTTTCTCGAGCAGCAACTAAGATTGGCGCCGCCTACCGACCGACACAAATCAAAAATGAACGCCTACAGTCCCGTTGCTTGGGGTACTCGAACCACTCGTATGAACCTTGTATTTTGTGTTGCAATATGGTGTGTAGTTAAAATCAACGTAAAAGTAAAAGGTCGCATACATTTTGTCACTGTTTTAATTCACATCTTTTCCGTATTACTCACTTTATCCAAAAAAATTTAGGTCTCAAGTAACAAAAGCCAGAGGGTAGGTATCCAGATGTTCTTCTTCCCCACACAAGATCATGGTCATACACCACTTTATCAGATTATGTGCGTGTCTAGATACCTTAATTTAGGATGAATTTTGTTTGCCTGGAGTGTGTACAGTGTTTTAATTGTCAGAATAACAGATAACAAGACGGATACGAGCAAAGGCTGATAAAATTTAACTTATTCTCGTTGAGATGATGGCAAATTAAAGGAGACTCAATCGAAATTTTAAAGATAGTGGAGGGGTTATCTCTGAAAAGGATATAGGTTTGTGTGTGTGGGGGGGGGGCGATGTGTAGCCGTATGTGGTTGCACAGCAAATTTAGTCTGTGAAAGATTCTTCAAAGACGAGCAAGAACCACTGTAGAGTAAACTGCCCAGGGTAGTGATTACCTGCACAAACATCCAAACCTTTTGGAAGGCATTAAATAACTGCTGATATACTAATTTTTCCTGGAGCAATTTGATATACAGTATGTATTCGTGTTTCCATAGAATGAAATACTGAACCACATTACCGGATTTTCGGAAGAAACAGTCTATTTCTTGAAAATGTTAGGGTGCCAGACGAACCACTGACAAACCAACAAACTGGACGCACGATAAGGTTGAGTTATAAGACGTCCTGAGCTAGCTGAAAGGAACTGAAGCCGCCACCAGTACTGGCCGGTCAAGCGGATCGATTCGCTATCACCGGAGTGCTTTGAGCCGTAGGATCCGTGGTTCAAACCCCATCATCGTCACCTGACTTTGGAGGTAGGTTCCTTCACTGAATTCCGGCACAATAGCGCTCCTGATTTGGTGGGGCCACTCCAATTCACGGGGCTTAGGTAGCCGGCTTTCAGGTTCTAGTGATTATGGGATTGACCGAATTCGCTGTTCACCATACAACAATGTGTAATCAAACAGAATGTTAGAACAGGAGACTAGGTTTTGTCAACAGAGACAGTGTCTCATCCTTCACTTTTGTCATTTAGATGAACATGATGAAGAATACAAATTCATTTTTATTTGTGCTATTTTTGACTATAACTGATTTGTTTTCTAATAAAATCAATAAACAATAGTAGGAGTTGTAAAAAGAGCATAACGAAATCCGTGAACGGCCTTGATCGCACAATACAAGAGATGGAAGTGAAACTCATCGCAATCTTTCTTTCTATCACCACTTTCTGTCTCACGTACAGATCCTCAACTGTGAAGTCGAACAACAATTTGCTTCTGACGTGGAAATCACCGGTCATCCGTTAGAGCTCTTGGCCTGGGCGTTTCTGCGACCACTCGGTGCGGACGGACACGTGAACGCCGGCCCACGAAAACAACGCCTACAACTGTACGAACCAATCACGAGCGGTTCATGTGATCCGCCCTGTTTACGAGCCAGTCTGAAGCGAATGTGGCGAGCAAAACACCCGACCAAAGCGGCGCCGCCTCCGGTGGATCCAGTCACCCGGGCCGGTTCGGATTTGATGACATGTTGGCGAGCTGGTCAAAGTCACCGGATCAAATATCCGTCCACATTGTATGTGTCATTGAACAGTCTGGACATAGACAACGCCTTAAAGTCACAAATACTGGTTAGTTGTTAAATCGAAACAAGTTTGTGTACGTGTGCGGGGAGGGAGGTGGGGGTGGCTCGGTTGCAGTTTAGGCAGAACCAAACATCGGTAATACTGACCCAAACATCTCACTAATTTAGCTTCTATACTACCACAAGTATCTAATCAACTATGTGAAACGTGTTTTCACTCCTAGAAACCGCAATCCTAAAACGTGGCAACTAATAATCTGTTCTTACGAAACAGAATGTGAAAGATAAATTCTTCGGGTGCAACGTAATATACCGCGGACACTTGGTGAGAATTCTCAAACAAAAAGAAATAAATCTAACAGACGAAAGAGGAATTTTCAATAACAAGGTATACACATGAACAATGGAATACAAACAATCCATTCGGAATTATATTCCTAATCAACATCAGAAGACATATGTGGGCAGAATTGATATCGGCCATCAATTTCGCGTGCTCTCATTCAGTTGTAAACGCACATTTATATGATCCTGTGAAGCGAAGATGCATAAGAGTTAAAATGAGTCATTTGAACATGAACTTGAACTTGTCCAACACTTTGTTCAAATGACTCATTTTAACTCTTATGCATCTTCGCTTCACAGGATCATATAAATGTGCGTTTACGGCTGAATGAGAGCACGCGAAATTGATGGCCGATATCAATTCTGCCCACATATGTCTTCTCGTGTTCATGAAATGGATAAAGGGAAAAGGATGTTTCACATATTCCTAAAGTCTTGATAACTGAATCACAAAATGTGATGCGTAGGAGGTTTCTGTGAAATCGTAAATGTAATATTAGTCACTTGGATTTACAGTGTAACTAAAACTTGAAATTGAAATACATATGTGATTAAGACGGTACGTACGTGTAGCAGCTGTCACGGTAGTCAATGAGTTCATGGGTACAAAATGCTTGAAAATATTCCGTTCCAAGTCCTACCGCTTGCTGAATCTGAGAGTAAAACGTTTTCCCATAGATTCGCTATCATTTTTCATTTCTCCTTTCGCGATGAGGTAATCGATCTAAGTGAAATAGGCTGGAATAGGTGGCCTATTATTTCCATTTTCTAAATGAAACTTGATAAGAACAAAAAGAGGTGATTTGCGATTTGGAGGAGACTTCAACAGATCTCATTAGATCGGTCAATCTTTCAAAGTTCTCAGCATTGTCTATGGCTATTAGTTCTCCACTCACCGCACTGCATTTGAGGGTATTCAACCGAGTCTGCTTGGATTTTTCAACGAAACACTGCACAGTGTGCAAATACGGTACACAGTACCGGTGTGTGTATTGTATTGTTTCTAACCGGTGCATGCCTATACTATACCTATATTTCAATCAGAAATGTTCGACGTTACACTGGAGAAGGGGAACGGAGAGGGGAGAACTGAAGAAGGTATCACGTATATAACAATCCGGAATGAAATAATGGAGCTTGTGGGACTCAGGAAACTCCGAATGACCTAACTAACTAAGTCCACACTGCTTGCAATTATTTCTATTCGTCGCTCATAAAACTCCCTTTCTCTC